ACGGGGGTTCATGGTAAATGCGGCTCAAGAGGTACTTCAAGGACACAATTTGTGTGCAATATTAAATTTGGGGTGCAATATGTGTGAAATCTTTCCGTGAAATATATATCTAAAATGACTGCAGATGTTTTCCTAATTTCATAATGCCTTGCTAACCCATAAACCCGCGCAAGGTTCTGTGCTCCGGTACACCAGCCGCTAACCGAGCTGTCTGTAAGAGATACGTCAGTAGAAGAGTGTGTGAAGAACGCCAGCAGGGGAAAAGGCAGATTTGCCGTCGCGTCTTCTTTTTATAACTTTCGGGAGAGTGCTCGTTTTTTTGGGTGCCGTACGTTTTTTGTAGATAGTGGCGTTCTTTTATACAGCATTAACCTGTGGCCTAGAAATAAGGAAAATGACCCGTTCACGACCAGTGCTGCACAACCCGACAGTGTGACATGCTTACGTTCGCGACACGCATTCAACAGCGAAATCTTGCCAACGGTCAATCATCTTCCGCGCATGGTATACGTGAAGCATAATCGCTTTTGCGAATGTACCAGCGATCACTGCTGTTTTGGCCATAAACAGAAAACAGCCTGTGGTATGACCGCGATCGCATGACGTTTCTATGACGTCATTAGTGCCAAGGTAACTTTAAAATGGGCCCTAAATAAACCTTTTCGCACTTTTGCGGGAGTATGACTCAGGAACCAGATCGCTTTGGGTCTTAAAAAAGATATCACCATGAACTGCACCAAGAGGTCATCAAGATGGCTATTACAGTTCCAAACGCCATACAAATGTGGAACATTCACTTTAAGAACGGCAAGGCTGTGAACTGCACCCAAACGTGTTCGGTATGGCTATTTCAGTTCAAAACCCCACACAAATGTGGAAGGCTCCCTTTAAGATATCATTATGACTTTCACACAGCGATTGAAAAATGGCAAACGGACAGGTAAATGGATGGGTAACGCAATGTTTCTACGGGTTGAGCAGGTACGTATGTGGCCATGCTGATGCAGGGCGGGTACGGGTATGGAAACTACCTGCCGGTCGCAAAGCCCTTTATACGACTCCCTGGGCATATTACCATGTCTTCGCACAACCAGCCCTTTTGCAGAGGGCACAATCGCGTGGTGTACTTAGAAAAGGTGGGCGGAATTCTTTAGAAAGCGCCGAATGCTAAGAGCACATTTGCACCACAGCAAAATTCTGTGTCAGCCGTACACTCCCCTGCAGAAGGCAATAAGTATTTCTCGGCCAAGATCGGTGAGGTACTCTGCTGTGCGTCCAATATAGAGCCTTAGGGCGTGTGACGAGCCAGGTCCACGCAGCGATTGGTGTCTGATCCCGAACCTTGGCGGCTCGGCTGGAAACTGGCAACAGTGCTTGTGCGATAGCTCTGCATTTGAACCGGTCTGAGGTGCGACCGCAAACGCATTCCAGGATGTCTGACGTCTAAAAACAGAGCGATAGATGAGTCCATTCCGAAGCTTTTCCATCCTCCAGAAGAATGCAGCAAGATTGAATCTCGGCCTTCAGTCCAGTTCGGCAGTCTTTACTTTGCACCACCGATCCCATCCAACGCGTTTCGGCCACCAATCCATCCACCAATCGACGCACGTTTCATTTTGGAAGAGTGAATGGTATCACAAATCACGTGCGCGTGCCGTGAACGTAATCTTGGTCAGTACATGGAACGGCTTCGGCCAAGAGAACCGCCATCTCTCTCGCTTCTCGTAGCACAAGAAACCGACGCTGCCACACCCGAGTGACTCGGCGCGCTCAAGCCGTCACGTCCGCTTGATACTGCTCAGACCACACAGCTAACCAGCTTGAGACTCCCACCAGACGCCGCATCCCGCGTCGCGATCGCGGCTGCGTCGTGTCCGGTTGCGGCCCTCTGCCGGTCCGGTGGCGCCCACCGACAGTCCGTGACGCCAGCTGGTCGCCGTTGCCAGGCGCTGCCAGGTGTCGCGCACGCGGGCGCGACACGCCTGGTGCGCAGGCGGGCCGCCGCAGGCGCTCACGCCCGCCGTCCTGGTCTGCCTCCGTCGTCCGTTCGTGACATGACAGAGGACGGGGCGCCGCGCCCCGACCAGGGCGAGGCCGGCCCTGCTCTGCGCTAACTGCGGTTGATCGAGGCGAAATATGCCCAAATTTGCGAGGATGAATAAGCTGTGAATTGCGTTGCGAACCTCCAGTTGGCAGGCGTAAGCTGTTGTCATCTGCAGTACGCCTCGGCACCTGCGCTCGCGTCTCAACAAAGCCACCGCCGTCGCACGCCCGAGCGTCCCTGGTGACGGTCATTTTATCGTCTCACACACGCAGGCACTGGTGGTTACATAAAGCTTAGGCAGTTTTCTCAGTCTAAACAATGATGTAGCATATGTTGTCATCGACTTTTCCAGCGGAGCTGTTGTTAACACCAGTCTGTTCTCGTTATTATTGGAATTTCGGGGCGATTTCTCACTAATTGCCGTAGTTTTCCGTGTTCTCCTTGTCGCAACCTGTTTGGGGCTACTTGAAAGGGAATGTTCACCATTTCAAGTTACTAAAGCAAAACATCGGATATGTCGAAATTAACTCACTCAGAACTATTGATATAGTTTGAAATGGAAAAGACAGGTCCAAACAATATATATATATATATATATATATATATATATATATATATATATATATATATATATATATATAGTAAATATGCCCCCCAGCACGTTATTGTTTGATTGCGCCATGAAGCATTTGTACGACGTTAGAGGTGCTATTCAACTGGCCGGGTGAACTTGCCACCCTAGCCCTCGCTTGTTGTCATTTAACCCGCCGAGAGCTGGCAGAGGCGTTGCTGGGTGTGTTTGCTGAACAAATGTGATCTGGCTGGCGTTCTGGCCCCTGCATACTTTTCCGTCAGCTTAAGTTGTTTTCCTGTGATTACACGCTCGGTTATGGGGCTTTTCTTACGTTGTTCGATCACTGTTTAAGTTTAAGTAAGTTTTAAGTCTGCTTTCCGTAATAACTAGAGGGCCGTAGGTCCCAAAAAGGGTAAGGCTGTGTACTGCACTGCGAATTGTTCCTATCCTCGGCTCGTCAACGCCAAACTGGTCCTCCAGCGTTGCGGCACACTGAGGCGGCGTGCAGTGCGCGCGCGCATAAACGAAGCATCGCCACAGAAATCTGACCTCTATTCTCGTTAGTTTGCATTGGACATCGTTGAGCTGCAATTTTTCGAATGCCTTTCGAGGTGGTGGTCGTTAAAGGCGCCGTCTTCACGGCCGGCCATACTCGTCGCACAGCCACCGTCATCGAGTAGTGCTGACTTGGAGAGGTCAGTCTTGTGTGTCCGTCACGTTGTTATGCCGTAACGGAGGCGTGGCGCATAGCTACCAGCTGCGTTTAGCGTAAGAAAGATGCTATCACGCAGTAGCATCTTTCCAACCAGCCACGCATGGGGCGTCGGACAGCCGCGCGGCGAAACAGGCGTCAGCATGGTCAGCATGCGCGATCACCGCTGCGGTGGGGCATGGGAAGTCTGCTGCGGTGTCGGAGGCCACCGCGACTGCTCGTTCCAAGCACGGGCCAGCTCACCTGCGAGCGCTATCGCCGCCCGTGCCGCACCCCCGCGGCAGCGATGAGGCCGCCTGTTGAAGCAGACGGACAAATGTCCCGTGGCATGTTCGCGCCACATCAGGCCTGTGCTAGCGTACGGCAGCAGTTGTGCACTTCTGCTCATAGATTAAGCATCCTAAGTGGCGCGATTTTTGTTGTCGATTTGCGCTGAGTGCGGGCTCTGCCCACATGTGGTGAAAAGTTGATCTCGATGGTAAGCGAAGCGGTGTTCGTCGCTGGCACTGTTGCTATGTTCGCACGATTTAAATCACTTTGCTATTGATGGAAAATAAAAGCCCGCAGCAAGAACTCGCCTGTGAACTTGCCGCCTGATAGAATGTCGGCCGCGCTGGTCCCCTCGGGTGAATGGTGAAGCAAAAGGGTCGACCCTCACTGAAAGGGCAAGTTCAGAGGTGTCTTTCGTCCCTAGAGGGTGATGAGAAGGATGAATATTTCCGAGGCGATTGTAAATGTGACCGGTTTTACCCTTCTGATAGCCGGTCAGCCTCCCTAGTTACCCTCTGGAAAATGGTAAACTAAGCTGGTCAGGTGCCCTGCAGACTAGCAAAAGGTAACAGTTCGTCTGCAGATATAATTTGCAGAGTTCATTCACAAGCTGGTGGTGAATGCAAAAAACCTTCCATTTGGCAGGTTGTGAGAAACTTCTATGTGCCTCTTAAACGCTTATCGTAGTTTTACGCGCTGGCAATTAGTCATTTTCAATGCAGGCTTAATGCCATTGGCATCAGTGGTGTAAGCTTCCGCTGCTTTTGGCAGTCCAGGTTACCTGTACGGCATCCAACGCATCAAAGCTGGTCCCTTGGAACAAAGGAAGAGAGGTTCCGAACTGAAAGAGGCCTTCGAAGAAAAAGTTGCCCGAGTAGCGAGGAAGTGGGTCCCTTGGCTGAAAGGGCACCATGGCTCGATTTGGCTTTCTCTTGGGCGAAAGTTTGGCTACGCCACTGATTGACATGACGCAAATGACTCGTCTTATTACTCCGCTTACAGCTCTCTGCTCTTATATGAGATGCGAAATGTTCTGCGACATCGATGCGCACCACCCGTGCACTTAAGGGCATGGCGTCTATTGTGGAGTTTATTGTAAAATATATCATTTTTGCTACCTTTAATCTTGTTTTTGGGCGTTTTTGAGATCATTGCCAGAGGTTTCAGCCTCGCACTGGATGACTAGGCAAGCTGAAGCGAATACGAAAGATGGTGAATTCCACAGGTTCATGCACCTAATGTCTCTCTTGTCCAAAAAGCAAGTCCTGGTAAGCGACGCAAGCCGGCGTTTGTTCGTGATGCCGCGTGATCATGAGCAGATTGGTGCTCTTGGTGCTCTGGATTGATCTGATCTCTGAATTGGTGCTCTGCGATCTCAAGATGTATTGAAATGCCAACCCATGACGTCAGACACCTCTGAGATAAAGTGCTTTTGATCCGCCAAAAATATGCATTGAAAATTAAGAACGAAACACGGGCATATAAAACAATATGCGGACAGTGTCAAGAACCTATTGTCAGCAAAAGATACCCCGATATCCAACGACAAACCGAATCAGACTGCACAGATCACATCCTGCCGCTGATCACACACAAACTCACGCACGCATGCGCACTAAAACACACCGGCGCATACATTTACACACCTCCTTTAGCCACGAATCCCATCTCCCCTGGTCAACGACCTGAACTCAGGCAGCCACCCTTAGCCATCCCGCCGGCTCCGAGGAGCAAGTAACCCGGAGCAAAACCCCCGCCAAGCGATTCAGAACCCTGAGTCCTATCACGCAAACCACCGGTAAAGGAGCTCTTGCCAAGGCACAACGCTGTTCAGTCGGCGCGCCTGAGACACCTTGCGACGTGAGAGGCATATCAGGCGCGTGGCACGATCTGATATCACATTCGGGCCCAACCTTATCTCCCAGGGTTAGTATCATCGGTCAACGACGAACCATGGGCACATACAGTTGGCAAGCACGCCGCATCCCTGTCCGTAACCAACCCAAGCGACCAGGCTTAATGTCACCGGTCAACGACGAACCATGAGCACATACAGTTGGTAAGCACGCCGCATCCCTGTCCGTAACCAACCCAAGCAACCAGGCGCCCCGTCCGGAGCACCACACCAAATCACAAACATGGCTGCTCTTGGTGCTCGCCAGGGAGGCGGGCATCACCGCTTCTCAGACCATCGCATAAGCAACAAGTAACAAAGTAAAGGGAGCGCCTTTTGTTTAGCATGGCGTGACAACGGGACCGACGAAATAAGCGTAAGGAAATAGACAGGCCAGCGACGCATTGCGACGTAAGCGCGCCTCACGCTGGGCGCAAAACAGGCACCACGGTCCCTTAACGGACTTATAGGGCGTCAGAGCCCTTGTTCCACTTGCCAATCACACCGACGACACACGGACGCGTGGCGATCGAGCACCCCTTCCCCGTTCTCCGGGAGGCGGCCTCTCAGTGTGTACCATTCGCGCCACATTGTTCCGCGCGGCTCGCCGCCTTCGGTACCGACGTCCGCGATTCGGCGCCCTTTGTGCCAGCGTGCGGGCGGAGTCTGCTACAGAGCCACGCGGACTCGGGGCTCTTCGTGGCAAGGGGCGTGGCACAGGACATTTTCAGCTCCATGAGAACCATTCCTTCTGGCGGTCCCAGTGCTTGACCTCCAGGTCGTAGCGGCTGGGGTCTTCCCCGATGTACTGAGACGGTGCCACCACCATACCGCCTGTGGACAGGCCAGCACAGGGGTCAGGATACCTGTCAGTATCGAGGCATGAGATAGCGCAATACTTGCACGTACACCATGCATCAATACAATGACGCACAAATTTCCCTTGCTTTTACCATGACGAGTGGGATGTGAAGAGCTCGAGGTGGTCATTATAGTTGTCCAAGCATCATGTCGCCGCGCGGTACCCCATGATCAATCTCGACTTAGAAACGACACATGGATCGCATTATCGGGTAGCCCGGGTGTAGCATGACTTCGTGGGAGCTGGCTGGAGAGATGTGAAGGGAGAAGCACGAAGACATCCCCCTTGCAACACCACTGTCGGCTTGTGCTTCAACAGGGTATGTGCGGCGTCACAGTGCATGCGCAGCAGCATGCTGGCAGTCAAGGTAAGCCACATGGTAAGCGAACGAGCAATCCGTATTCAAAATTCATCTGTCGATTTGAAGTCAACACTCAAGTCGAGTCTTAGTTGTTCGGATGATATATCTTGCGTGAATGCATGCACTTTCACGCGTTAATGATATATCAATCCCAACAGCTGCTGGATGCTTGAATTCATTAATGAAATACAGTACACACTGCCGTAAATTGCAAGCTTTCAACGTCACATTCAAACAAAACGTAAGGGCAAAAAACAGCTGGAGGAATTCACACGTCTTCTTCAGACCCATGATGATCGCTCCACCTAAACTGGCTTAGTTCCGCAGCTATGCAGGGACTCACCGCACAGATATGAGCCCCAAAATCCGAAGGATCCGACGGAGATGACCGTGTGGTTGCTTAAGGAGAGCATGGCCATGTCGAATGCCACCGGGTCCTTGACGTTCTGTTTATGACCTGTTGGGGATAAAAGCGCAGCGTTAGATTGTGAGGACATGATGAATTCGGCGCTTGACTGCATGTGCGGTGTGGTGTATGCACCCGTCCCAGCGCACATGTGTAGCATACAGTGCTCGATTACCGTTTTATTTGGGCAACCGACGTGCTGCATCGCTTGTGGCAACAGAACGTCACCGGTGCGCGGTTCAGCTGGGATGGCGTGCACGATTGCACGTAAACGCAGTGTTCTGGAACTGATTTTTCCACGTGTTGTCACCATGTGTTTATGAAATATCATGACAGCCGAAAACACCCGCGGTCTTGTGGATAAAACAAAGAAACATCCGGGTAAAAGCACATACTTACAAACGTTTACTGATGTTGGAAACAAAAGCCATTACAAAAGATTTAGCTTGTCAGCTTATGACTATATTTCCATGCTTCCACGTGATAACAAGTAGTGAGTTGTGAAGAGGACCAATGAGTCTCACACTAATACACACTCTAGTGAACAGTTTCTAACACACACTCCAATGAGCAGTTTCTATCAAATCAGCTATAGTATGAGAAGTTAAAGAAAACTTAGCCTCTAGGCCTTTAAAAATGCTGGATTGTGACTTTAATGAGCGGTTCCTTTTGGCTTCCTTCATGAATTTACGAAGCATCGTTGCTCAGTAAACAAAGACAACTGGAATCGCAAAATCAGAAAAATGCGGTAGTGATGAGAGCGCGAACCTGAGTGTGCTCCCCACCTGCAGAGACATGCAGTCTGCCTACTTATCTATTATAGCAGCCAGAGACCCCACGCGGGGCCCAAAAGTTCAAAAGTGAACACCTCACACTTCCAAAAATCTGATGGGAATGTTAACCTGATATGTTTTAATCGTTCCCACGCCCTTACAATAGTAATGGATGCAGCATGACGATTCACAGTCGACGCGCCCAAAAACTTCAAATCATCAGCACATCCCACCCTCTTACACAATGTGCTTTCCCCACACCAGATATTGAACACGATCGCTGCAGTTTCCAGTAGCTTCGGTCCAGTCGCCCCATCCGGTAAATTATCATAGCGAAATCTGAACGTCCCTAACATTGCCATCAACATTTTCCTAACCGTAAGCAAGGTTTGTAGGCAAGACAGTAGTAATAGCCTTATTCCTCGGAGAAAAATAGGGAGAGTTGGGATATAGATACGTTGATAATTTGGCAACAGATCCTTATCGAAACGTATGGGATTTTTTTCTCCGAGGAATAAAGCTATTACTATCGCCTCATCTTCGTGAATAATGTGCCTCGCAATTGCACTAACAGATTACGTAATTTTGAAAGCAAGGTTCCATAAACTGTCCGGTCAATGGTCTCTCACTGTCCATCAAAACCGCGAGGCTGGTTGCGCAGTACTCTTTCTGGAGTAGACAAAACACACCACGTTTTTGTATGCCATATATCTGGAGCATTCTTTATCAGCCGTAAGTCTTGTACTCTGCAGTAGCATATTTTTAATACATAGTAGTATATTCAATTTGGTGGAAGTTAAATATATGAACTTTTCAGAACACCAATGCAGAAAACGAATGAACTGCAGCATAAACATCAATGCAATATGCGAACCTGCCAAAAGCCATCAGGGAGTGTCTGGTTTAAAAACCTACGATATCATGTACATATTCTCAGAATTGTCGCCTGAATGGCACCTAACCATGAATGACATTTGTAGTTTATATGAACACGAATGATAGACTCGCTGTTAAGAGCGTATTTCGTGGGTGAAAACGCCCCGCTTATACCTCCGTATTTTCTGACCACTCATCGTCGTGACATGCCGTGTTTGTTGTAACTTTTATGCGGCGACAACAGGTGCATTTGACATAAATATTGCAAGTGATATGACGCAAAATATTTGTTGCCTTCATCGTCACTTCCTGCGTCAAAAATCCCAGTTATGTATTCGATAAAGTATGTGCGCCGTCTCAAAAATAGTTGCAGGCACGTTCTCTATATATATTGCATTTCCGACTCTTTCAATTGCATAAGCCAGTTGAGCAACTGTGTAATGTTCTTAAACACCGTGAGATGGCACGCCGAGAATGACGTTGTAATTTCCTTGGCGTGATGCTCTCCAGCAGTCATCGGTATAAAGTATTTTCCGACGGTTAGATCAGGACTCAGCAGCCAAAAGCTTTTGCAAGGCAAAGCAGGGGAACGCTGAATATAATCTTACCAGAAAAAACATCTTATTAGAACACAATATGATCAGAAAAGTAATTATCAAACATGGGAAAGCAGCAAATGAATCAACGGGTTGCAGACAACCATAAAATGGAGTCATTTACGGGCACAAAGGTCAGCCATTTGGTCTGGAAAAACTAAACATATTCAGTGATCAGTGATTTAACACATCACGAAGCGAATTCGCCAAAAGCAGCGCCACCATTATGCGCAGGGACGTAGACCAGGGACCAGGAATGGACGGAGAATGTAGACCGGAGGAGTCACTACCCTGAGCATCTGCATGCGGTCAAGCCTTCTCGGTCCTGTCTTCAGGCTCAACATGCGAACGGCCAATGACGTATGTAAGGAAGGTTGATGGCGCTATGCGACCAGGGTGGTCGACATGCCCTCGAGTCCAGATCATTATCATCATCAAGTAAGGAAGGTCACACACAGTGGTCCTCCTCACTGCTCCATGGACAGAATATGCGGCTCTTTAACTTCGGATACAATGGATAGGTGAACTATCGACTAGATGTACGCAGGATAACCCGGCAGGGAGGGGGCCTTAACACAAACGTTTTTAATGGCCGAAAACTTGAGTACAAGATTCGTTCCGTGTCCGTAAAGAACATCGCACGTCCTTGATATGCTCATTTCATTGTGCTGACTCTTATTTTCTGGCGTAATCATTCATTAGCACACAGATTAACGCACAGAATACATTTTATAAGATAAAGCACGTGTCCCGGGGCCACTATGTACGGATGTCCTTGCTATCATGAGCCATCCGGTAATGCTGCACAAAACTGCCTTGTCTCCTGCCCTGAGCTACCATTATGTTGCGGTTCACGACATAACAAAACGTGCCACCACTTCAAACACCCGGCGCCCTCGAAGGAAACGATGCATATTTTTGGAGTAGAAATTTTATGTTTGGTGCTCGAATCGCAACAGTACGTTGACTGTCAAAACAAGTCTGCGACTTTCGGGAAACAAACCTGTCACTGCAAACGACGCACCATTGAGATCACAAACGTGGATGACGCTAAGCTGGACCACGGCTAGAGTCTGCAGTGCGTGATTTTTTGTAAAGAATCGGATCGCTCGTGGGAAGCGGCAATCTTCCACATATCCCATCGGGCACTTCGTCCGTTTTGTTCAACCACAGCGACAATCGCTTGTTGAGACGACTGTTACTGACAGAGCCCAGCGGTGCTTCGCAGCGGCGTAGCGGTGGCTTTACACAACAATGCGCTCGCGGGTGACGCAGCAGACTGGGACCGAACCGTCCCGCGTGCGGGTGCTTTGTCAGCGGTCGGCCGGCCTGGTGGCGACGCCGAGAAGAGGGTCGGGCTCGGCTGGCCCTTTGACCGAGCCTTGACCCTTGACCTGCGGCCCTCGTGACCGGCGCCCGGGGGCAGGAGGTCCAATCCACAATGTTCAGCGCAGGCGAAAAGTGGGTCACATTTACGCGCGATTTGTGGCGCCGCGGACATAATGGCCGAGTGATTCGCACCTGGGAATTCCACTGGGGAAAGGGGGGGGGGGGGAGGGCGCTTCTAAGGACAGTGCAGTTGCTGGCGCTCCATGAAACGAGGCTGACGATGTGCGTCGTGTTTCCTTATTTAAAGCAGATTTATGACACCTACCGAGTTACGTGTGCAGCGGTCAGTCATGGCACAGACACTGGTGGGCCTTGCAATCGGCGGTAACAGCTTACCTTACGAAAGCAATGTCTTTTAACAGGCAATCTATGCGTCAAACAAGCGGCTTCCGACAAGACAAGCTTATTTTGGGCGATGTATTTTGAAGACTGCAGAGCAGAGTAGTTTTTTACATGTGGCGCCGCAGTCTTGGTAAACACATAAGTCATTCCAAAGCGAGGTGCCGCAACACAATTTCAGCAGCATGGCTTGCGCACCGATCTGCAGCAGCCTTCTTGCTGGGAATTGGCCACCGCACCTGGCACGGCGCTGGGACAGACCGGGCCGGCCACTCACTGGTGTAGTAGACGTCGCCGAACTTGTTGACCACACTTCGGACCGCGAAGCTCGGCTCGTCCGTGGCCACCACGAACACGGCGTTCTTGTACATGGCCCGGTAGTAGGCAAGCGCCGTGGCGAAGTACTGCGTAGACGGCAGGTTGCGGTGGTAGTTGTTCTGACGGTGGGGGGAGGACAGGGTCACGGAAGACAACGCTGGTGCTTGTGCCGCTCCACAGCTGACGCTCCTGCCTCCGTGCTAGTTCACGGCGTCATTGCCAACGGGAGCTGCCGAGGCTGAGACCGTGGCCGCGGGCGTGGGGTGGGGCAATGCCTGGATTCCGATCATTCATCCTCGCTAGAATAAAAAGCGCACGCTGCTCTATGAAAAGGGAGGAGAAAAAACAGGGGCAAGATAATCTAATTAAGTATTCACAAACTGGCAACTCTGAGAAATCAGCACAAGGGCACTGCGCTGATATTACTGGTTGCTCCACGGGTTGACTGTGGATTGGGGGCGAACGAGATAGCTGATTGACGCAAGATATCCCCCGGCCATTCAGCGTCGGCTCTCAACGATGGTGAAGCGGCCATTGACCAGGCCGGGTCACATCTCGTTGGCTCACCACAAAATCCACGTTTTGGTCGGTGCCTCGCACGTGTACGCCGATGATAACGGGATCTATCCGGCGCCCAGACACCTTGCGGAAATAAGCGTGCACCTGCCGACGAAACAGGCCGGCCGTCACGATCGCGGCGGCCGGACATAACACTCAGTGGGTCACGGGACGCTGCGCGTCACACTTTTATGCTCGCACTTCTTCAGCCGATGTAAGGCCAGCAGCGTGGCAAATCTGCAGTTTTGGGGTTCTAATGCGAAGAAGAATGCATGAAATGCACACGTCGCGCCACTCTCGTGTGCTTAATCTGCCGGCCTCCCGGACGGAAACTGAATACGAATCTGCATCCAGAATGGTGTCACCACCAACATGCTTGATGTTCAAAGCTGGTGCGCCCTGATCGGATCACCACAAGCGCCGACCACCGAAACGCTACCCTCATTCTGGGTGGGATCCTCCGCACGTCGCTCGGCACTAAAACAGCCAAGCACTGGACATCATGCTGGGGCACTTACTGAGTCCTGTATGGCCTGATCAAAGATGAATTCTTCAGCTGACAACCTGGGCAGATATGACGAGAATACGGGAAAGCCATTTTCCGGCGGCCAGTCTGAAAATGGTGAATTAACAGTCTCAAATATATCCGTGAGTATATGAGACTGCTGAACTGAAGCAATGTAAAAAGTATGCAGAGAAGCAAAGGCAGTCCATCCAGAGGCATAACCACATCAAGAGGACACATTACATGCCAAAGAAATGACTAATGAGATACGGGAAAAAGCAGCGAAGGAAAAGCCTGTTCATTACAGGATCGCGAATACGAATGTGCGCCGCAGATAAGCGCTTCAGTTAAGAGGGTCGGTCGAAGGAGTTTGAACATCAGTGGATTTTGCTTGCGATTGTTCTTATTTTAACTTGGTTCAACGCTATCCCCTTAGATTTTGTCCAGAGATGGTGACGCCAAATCAGACCCGCCTGGTCGACGCACCACTGCCCTCAGCTTACCAGCTACGACGATGCAGTGTTCGGACGGCTTGTTGGGGAAGCACGGATACCGCTTGCCGATGGTCTCCGGACAGGGCAGCAGTACCTCGAGGTTGCGGTACCAGGTGAAGTGCCACTTGGCCTGCTTGTATTCGCCTGGCGCACGAGACGGTTGGCGTGAACGAAGGAGCCGCCTCGAGACGGTGACGTCAGGTGAGTGACGACATGATTTATGAATGTATGCACGTGTGTGTGCGCACATTGTCTTGACAAAATATAGTACTGTGTTGTCGGGATGGCACTGTTTGTTTGGTTTGGTAACAATTACATGTGATTCCGTGACGGGAATCCTATTGATCGACATCGATTTTTCACGCATGATTAACGCATCACCTGTGGGGTACAATATCGCGACTTTGGATTTCTTAAAATAACGGCAAAAGTCTCATGAACAGAATCATAATGAACAACAAATACAGTCCAATCAATTGTCTTACTTGGAGGTGACTTGATGCTGAGTTTAGGGAAGTACTTGTTGAGATTGTTGGCCTGCTCGCTGGTCGTGTACACGCTTATCTTGTATTTCTCTCTTAAAGCGTACAGCATACTGTACTTGATCATAAGATTCCCCAGTCTAGAACTTCCAAACATGAGAAGGTGTACCTTACATTTTGAATTTTCCTCGAGATTCTGTGAAAAATATGATTTTCCATCAGCATCCATTAGCAAACACAACAGGTATTCTGGCTAGACTGTTCAAACGATATAGCAGCTTTGTCAACACAGTTGAAGATCAGTAGGCCATAATTGCTATGCTGTCAGGGTCAGCAGTTCACATGCTGCACAGTCGAGATGGGATTTCCAAAATAAAACGATGAGAAGCATGACTGTCACGTCTGACGCGCTTGAACTCCGTCTCAAGTGCTGACGAGGCCCTGGGGAACGCCTCGCAGAACGGGACGGCGAGTGGGCTTGCCCTGGAACCGGAAACGCCCTGACCCAGCTGAACGCTCATTGATGACTTTTGCCTGCCGGCTTGCTGTCCGGTGGCGTACATCTTGGAAGTCTGTGTATGCACCTTGGAAGTCGTTACGCGGAGGCTTGTTGTCTGGTTGTATACGCCTATTGGAAGGCGTGTCGGAAACCCGCCCTGTTTTAATTATTCTTTTGAATAGGGCAATGAACAATTTACGGCCACACCACCGGAAAGGCGTTAAAACAAGCAGACTGAACAAAAGCAAAAACAAAACGAAACAAAACAAACAAGACTTTTTTGGTGCTGCTAGTACACTATCAAGACATTTCAAAAACCCCCCAAAAACAACAAAAAAACGCCTATCCTGAAATCCTTTGTTCATAAAATGACGATCCTTGTCACGCACACAATTACCAAGTTTAAAGTAAATATAGTTAGTTGTTGCCGACTTAAAGCTATTAAAAGGTCAGCATTCCTATATAACTTTCAATGACCGACAGATCCTGATCTTATCTAGACATGGAATGACCGGGTACTAATTAATGAGCTCTTCCGCTGCAAGCCGGATAACAATACTTTGAACGCATGTGTCGCAATGCTAAGTTTAGTTGTTTCAACGGGTTGACCTTAAACATTTCAACCTTGGAACAGGTCAGGGGTTTCGAACGGAGCTTAAGTGTTTTCCGTTCTAATCATTGGTCCCAGGCAGGTCGGGTCCGACAGGCCATACGGTACTGACTTAGCACGCGCCCGGGCGGCCGGTTGGACACCCTTCGCTTGGGTGGGGCGTCAATTTGACCTCGCCGAGATATCGGGAACTAAGAGAGCTAGGCATACCAAATTTACAGGTTGTATTGACCTGTACGTTAACTCACTTAGGTCTAAGTTGCAAGTTCCTAGGCTATAATCTTTGGGTCAAATAAGGTCAAACAAGGTCAAATTTCAAGTTAGTCTCCAAAAAGCCCCCAGAACCTAGATAACTGCTTCTAAGCAAAAGGCCACATGCTCAGTTAAGGTCAGCGACCTACTTCGACCTTCTGAAGGTCATGGTGATCAAAATCATAGAAGACTGCTCTGAGTTTTGCATTTGAATGAGCGACAAATATAACGCTAGGCAGTATGTTTCTAAAAACAAAATGTTAACCTGCGTCATTTCAGGTCAATGACCTATTCTGACCTCTAAGAAGTCCATGGTTGAGGTATAGTGCAGTTCCTGCAATCAACAAATTCGAAATGAGCACCAGAAACTACCCCATACAGCAAGCCCTACAGCGATAAAACAGGTTGGTTTTGACCTTGGTCTGGCATTTATACCTGACCTTAGGTAGCCTTTATTCGCTCATTCAATATCTGTGTTGTGTAAGAAAGCGTCTCAGAGTTGTATGACTTCGTCTAACACTCCGTTGTTGCATCAAATTTAGCGATTCCCTAGATATTGACTTCGCTGAAACCATGGCTTCACTTTGACATGCCATAGGTCAGCGACCTTACAAGACGCATCCAAATTGTTGATGCCAAACAATTTGCTTTTCAATTACCTACAGCTATGCAACATTCGGCGCGGCTACGCCGCATTATTCGAAAACCATTCCGGAAAAACTCGGGTGGGGGGTCAAGTTGACCCCCGACCCCCATCCAAGGGAGTGTCAAGTACACCGATTACCGTCGAAAGACTCCGAACAACCTCTTTTTTAAATTTAGCACGTGTGACATGATATGGTTTAATCTTGTCAGGGTAGACACTTCAACGGTCTGCTACCAGTTGTTTCCCGGCACACAGAAAATATCCTTGAATATGTAATCGCGACTTTCGCTGGCAGTAATTCGGAAAACGTATGCCGTCAACATAATACGGTGGACACTGGTTCTTTTCACGACAGTCTTGCTGGACAGGAACATAATTTGGTACCAAATCTGGAGTGCACAGAACCTATGACAATCAGCAGCGAAAGTCCACGGAAGGTTACGTCTATTAAAACAACCGTTACACTTTACTCCAGAAGCGTTCTTAATACGGCGTCATGCACTTAATCATTATTAGTATTAATTTTGCGCTGCTTTGTGATTCCGTCGCCCTGGACCAAATCTGAAAAAAATGAATAAAAAATGGCTAAAAATTAGATGATGAAACAAAAATGCTTACGCACAAAACATATTGACTATTATGGCAGGTCTGATGACAAACGGTGATTTCTTTCCTATTACCCTAGCTGTCACGCATTTCTGATTTGGTGCTGAATTAGGCATTTGTCTAGCAGCGTTAGCGTTAAAAGGGCTTTTACCTACTGATGGATAGTTTCTCATCAATGCACAAGACCTGTCGACAACACAATATGTCCTGTGGGCTTCAGCGACTGACGGCACCCGCCAAGCAGTCGAGCCGGCATGATTCGTTCCGAACAAATCGATTCCGATGGACCGATGAAATTGAAGCTCCAACCCAGCGTCTGGGACCATTCGGAGCGTAACAAATCGATGTCGGCTTTTGTGTCGTCGCCGCAGACCACTCAGTGAACTATGGCGGCCCGTTAGACAATCCAAGTAACTGCGCCAGGATGCCATTATACTGAATAAAACACATCTGAGGTTGTTAACTTAACCTGTGGAGTTTTCACGCTCCTGGTCGCAGATCGCTGGCACTGTTCATTCACTCCCCTGCATTTATGACACGATTTGTTATAACAAAAGCGGTGGAGTGGATGATCAGCACAGCAATTAACTAATAGATTCTGAGACACCTAAACATCTAAACATGCAAAGCAGGACTAATTCTACTAATGCGGTTTTTTTGCTTTTGTCCAGTGTGGAGCAAAGTTGGTAAGTTAGACAAATGCTCTGAAATTAGGACTAATGACCGTGAAAACATACACTTGGTTCGGCAGGGAGAAAAACGTGTTGGTAAGGTAAGCGCACATCTGATGGAAAATGACCTTCTCAAACACCCCAGAAAGACAAGAGAGAAAGAGACTTAACTAGACTACACTGGACTACACTAGGCAAGACTGACAAGCAGAGGAAACCAAATGGCCCCTTGCGTTTTTAGATAGCCACAAAAAGAGCCTGCTTCCACAAGATGAAAAATCCAGTCGCAAATATTTTCTGAAAAGCTTAAAAGTGGTTCAAAAATATAGACCGGTCAGTTTGAGAATTTCACGGAATCTGGTCCAGGAGAGAAGACTTTTTTCATCGCGATGATTCAGTACGGTTGGTAGAAGGGGGGGGGGGGGGGGGCGCATAGGCTGTCGTATGCCTTTCATGTTGGTCTTGTCGGACCCGCGAAGAAATTGCTCAGAATTATAGCCTTATTCCCGTGAGCTGTCAATGGTGAGCTGTTAACGGTGAGCTGTCAATGGTGAGCTGTTCCGCGCGATGGCATGGCTTGGCATTGTTGAGATGGAATGATTGAGTGCTTTCCCGAAAAGTCCCTAATATCTGATAAAAGTATTTGTTGAAAATAATATTTGATTAATATTTTGTCAAGACCACACTTCTTTACATTACGTGAATGGGCGTGTTTGAGTCGTTGGCTTGCGTGCGTAGTTGGATTGCTCCGTCGCCTCCGACGGTCCTAGTCGGCGTCAGCGTCGCGCCCTTTGGCTGTGTGGACACGTCCCTAGTCGGCGTCAGCGTCGCGCCTTTTGGCTGTGTGGACACGTCCCTAGTCGGCGTCAGCGTCGCGCCCTTTGGCTGTGTGGACACGTCCCTAGTCGGCGTCAGTGTCGCGCCTTTTGGCTGTGTGGACACGTCCCTAGTCGGCGTCAGCAGCGCGACTTTTGGCTGTGTGGACACGTCCCTAGTCGGCGTCAGCGTCGCGCCTTTTGGCCGTGTGGACACGTCCCTAGTCGGCGTCAACGTCGCGCCTTTTGGCTGTGTGGACACGTCGGTCTCGGTTGCGAATGCGTGTCGATAGGTCTGTTGTCACTCGAGGCTTGTCAGCGTCTTTAACTATGAATAAGACGAAAGGGAATGGATGATCTGGCTCCTGATAGCAGGGCATCGGGGAACCTGTTAGTGGTTGCGTTCAGTTCGCGATCAAGTGTTCCCCCTCCCCCTACCCCACCCCCTATCAGAGGTGCAGTTAGCTTGTTAGCGTTCCGTTTACTGTATTTCCATAGGCCCAAACTTGCTTGTCATACGTATAACTTGAAAAGGGATTTTTTGCCTCGCGAAGATGGGTATATGGATTAACTTAGAAACAACGGGCTAGAAGATCAATGGCAAACGCATTTGAAAAACACTTTCGGTTATCAAGGGAATGGACATTACCATGAGGTATCTAAGGTTATTCCACTAAAATTCAGAATCCGTCCTGTGGGACGTTCGATTAGCTGTGACGTGTGAAGTAAAATTACGCCATCTTGTAGTCTAACTTTGAAGGGTAGAAAACAATGCGAGTAAAATCTGAGTATTTTACAGCTTCAGACTAAAGTAAGCACCACACGAAGTCAGCGAAAAACAGGTCTTCCTTTTCGTTCGTCATTTTTCAATCGCCAGATGTTTGCTCCATGAGCGGTTGGGACGACCTGTGAACAGGGTGTCTCAGTTGTCTGCAGCCCATCACCTCCGTCAGAACAGCTGTGGCTGTATGTGGAGCTAACACTAGCTATAGCTGATCCGTATTCCATCCCACAAAAGATGTCTTGGTCATCAGTCATTGAATGTCTCAGCAACAACCAGCTGGTTTACCCCCGGGCCCAAACCATCCTCAATTTTGGCTCTATACCGCGTTCGATTCTGTGCCCAACAAGGACGCACTCCCTTCTCTAGGCCGGGCTCGTTATCAGCCTCAGACTAGGTTCGCTTCGGGTCCCAAACTGTGCTTACTCCCGATCCCAGACAGGGCCCCTTCCCGATCTAAGACTGGACACACCGCCGGCCCTAGACTGGACTCACTCACGACCCGAGACTGAATTCCCTTCCCGGTAACAGACTGGAATCCCTCCCAACTTTAGCCTAGACTCACTCCCGGTCCTTGACTGAATCTACCGCCGGCTATAGACTGGAATCACCCCGACCCAGAGCGAACTCGCTCCCGGTTCCAATCTGGACTCAGTCTGGACCTCAGATCGCACCCATCCCCGGCCTCGGAAGCGGTTTGTTCCTGGCCCCAGGCTGGGCTCACCCCCGTCCCCGGACTGGACAACGCCGTGTCCAGACAGCGAAATTCGAGACCAGTGATGAAGTTCATGACCGTCGGGCCATGCCACCCAACCAAACTCACCTTCCCAACATCGTGTCTCGCACAGTATGGCGCAGTTGTGACCGGGAATGAGTCCGATCTGTGGCAAAGTCACAGATTGGCCACCAAACGTGCTCGGCTCGCCGTCTCCGTGACGCCTCCCCTCCTCCTTTCCTCCTCCCGCTTACCGCCGCCAACAGCGCCTCATCGTCGTCCTCGTCGTCTGTGCACTCCAGCAGCACGTCGTCGTCATCGTCGGTAAAGGGGGCGAGTGGCAGGTACTGGTCCCAGGCGTTTCCGGTTCCTGCGCTGCGAACTGCAACAGCAGCAAATGGTGCGTGTCATGACCGGACGCTGTTGGACAGGCAGCGTATCATGAGAACACCATGCTTGTGCGACTTTGCAAACGTGTTAGAAATCCAACATCGTAGGCCGTACCTCTGGCGGGATTGTTTACGGCAGTATACGGCAGTATACGTTTGAGTAGGATTGTTTACGGTACGGAAAATTAAAACTATCGAAATGCATACCTTCATGAGCGGGTGTTAAAAATCCCCTCGCCTGACAGAAGCGTTAACGGGGCAGCGAGATTCCACGTCACGAGACAGGTGTCGAGCAATAGCTAGGCGCCGTCAGCGCGGCAGCAGTGTTGGTAGGTCGGCCGCAGCGCGACTGGCGAACGGTGGCCCGGGTGGACACCAGTGTCGCCCACCGGGACACCGCCCAGCGACGGATGCCTGCTGCAGGGGACAGCGGCGGCTAATGACGGCGTGCTCTGCGCGGGACGGGGTGCCCCGTAGTCACTAGCCACTCGTGACTCGTGACGAACGTGACGTGTGATCCGATCACGTGACTACCGCTGAACGCTGACTGCGATGCTGCTGTAAGCTTCAGAGAGTGGGCCAAAAATCAGGAGCTGAATCGCTATGACTTGCAATAGAGCTGTGCAATCCTTTGGATAATGATCACTCCTGGTTCCGAAAATCAAGCCCAGTTTGTGGATGTCGTGGGGCAACGTCGAAAAAGGGCCAACGTTGACAGCACAAAAAACGGGACGTGTTCTGCACTTTGTCTTTACCTGACATCTTCTACTTGTAAATAATCCGGTTACGTACCTACATAACGGCAAGCAGGATCTATGGTAACTACTACCATGTGAAGTGATTTCACCCCAGTGGTTTTCGAATCGGACAAACATGCCGACCATTTCTGATCAGTAGGGCCAGTTATTTATCACGCGTCCGTTCAACGAACGCTTTTAGTAATATATTGCATGTACGAGCAGCATGTCACCGTAATTTCCAATTTAATGGAAAAAGCACGCAAACCAGAAGAATATCATTACTAGTATAACGAATTAATGTAAAACAACAGAGCTATAAGACTTTTCCGCAATACATCGGCCGTGCGTGTAGAGGCCATATATTTCGGTCATTCGAAAGACTCTGCCACACCCATCAAGCGTGCCCATATTTATAGGTCAGAGGCTGGTTATGCATCGACATTCACGGCAGCTTTCTGAACAGTCATGTCGGGTATTCAGGACGATGCACGATTTGCTTAACTGGGATTCTCTTCGATGACCTGCAGTACTAACCCTTTCAACTAGGCCAATTGCGTCGATAAGCAGCACCGAAGCTGCCTACTCACCACATAATCAATTAACTCCATAAATTGATTTCAATAGAGTTGATGCAAATGAAGTCAAAGGAGGTCATTGCATTTTACATCATTGTCTCATTATCCAACCATGATTAGGCTGGGCATGTCCGCGATAACTCAGGATGATTACAAATACAAAATATGCATGCATAGACGCGGCCATGTCTCGAATAACACCTTGATCTCCTCGCTGTCCTCCATATCCTGCCGCGTTTCCGTGCCGCTCGCTGGCACGGAAACGCCAGCGAGCGGCACGGAAGGCGTTGCATGTGCAGAACCTCTCAAGTGGATATTCTTGCTGACGCCTCGCCTGCTTTGGCCTCTGCTTGTCACGAGCTGCGTATCCTCCGAGTCATCGACCAATTGCCCATGGTGTATGACGCAGCAGTTTTGCGAGGCCTGTTCGTGGCTAAAGTCGGCGGTCAGCCAAGCTTGCGAGGATCAGGTGCGCTGCTTATCCACTACTTCGCCAGCTCACGCCACGATCGTGGCTCGCGGCCTGCACACGCGGACCGCTACCGGCAGCGGCGCCGTGACCAGCTCGGCGGGCGTCACGTTAGCAAGCGCGAGGATGGAAACAGAGCGTGGTGGGTCCCCCCGGCCTTTGGCCACGCCGGTAGTAAGATGGAGATATAATCCAGGATTTTAGATCCGCAGTCGTAACAGGGCTCTTAAACTCACGGGCAAAGTCAATCCAGCATGCGTCGTTGCTGCTGGCTCAGGTTTTGTTACATGCTGGCAACTGGAAACCTTTTGCAGAGCACCAGACTGCTTGTTTACGAGTCAACGCTATCCGTAGCAGGCTTAAGAGTAACGCACGTACGATGGTGCGTGTTCCATTCAGCGCTATCCGTAACAGGTTTGAGAGTAACGCACGTACGATGGCACGTACGTGCTCCATTCTATTTCCATATATCCCACTCTTATTTCTCCTTTTTGTCATTTAAGCTGTCACCAAAAGGCTGAAAAACTTGGGCCTACGAAAATCATATTTTGCTATTTTTCCTAGGATTGGCGAGAGATCTATCACCACAGGCTTTTCCGGATATCCAGATTTCTTAAACACAAAAACTCCAGGTCACTGAGCTGTCGTCGGTGTTACGTCTTGCCTTCGGCCGTAACACTGCGGACAAAGACGCGCCAATGATTTAAGGACAACTACGGCGTACTCGCTCCTCAGTACGCTCATGCAAAAGCCCACATTTGACAATGTAGTGAGACGCATAGTACTACGTTGTATTACGATTTTGTCCGTCCCGGTGGCTCCGTTGGTTAGAGCATACAACTTCCCACCCACCCACCGGTGGCGGGGCTGGTTCGAGTCGCTTCAGGCGCTCGCCAATTGCCCTTGACTAACATGGCCTGCGGCTGGTGGGAGCGGTCGTGCGGAGGGTCAGTTGACGTCTAAGGGCAGGACGGATCGTGCCGAGCACTGCGGCACGTTCGGCTTTCGCCACCAAAGTCTGCCGTTGACAAGGACTTGCGCAATCAGGCTGTTATGCTGTTCTGCTGAACAGCATAACAGCAGGCTGCTGCCAATTGACAATGAACTTGGAACTCGATTCGATGGAATATTCCGCATCAGTCATCCGGGGCTTCCTGCACGCGTGGCGGCGACTGCTGAAATTTCAAGGGGCAAAATCATAAGTTTGCCCCACTTTTCAGATCGCATGGGAGTGGCCGCCCTCCGATTGCCCCGCTAGTGTCGCTGCCCCTGTCAGGGACTCAAACCCGGTATGACGGGACACAAGTCCTCGATCTTATACCCAAGAGCACGAGATTGACAACCTGCTTTTGAAACGGCCTCTGATCCAAATGTAAGTCGCTAAGTGCATTTGCAAGGAACCTTACACACACACACACACACACACACACACACACACACACACACACACACACACACACACACACACACACACACACACACACACACACACATATATATATATATATATATATATATATATATATATATATATATATATATATATATTATATATTGCATGAAAGCCGGCTCACAGGCCAATATATATATATATATATATATATATATATATATGTATATTTATATTTGCATGAAAGCCGGCTCACAGGCCAATGATGTTTGACATTTTTAACGCATGCGATGTATGCTTGAACGCAGCAGACAACGCATGCGATGTATGTTTAGGTACAGCAGATAATCTTTCCGGAACACCGGGGGAGGAATGAAATTCGTCAGCTTGGTCAATTTAGTGATGGAACCGGAGTTTTTCTGCGCGAACTTGGTGACGTGGCTGTTCAGGGGCCTGTCCACCCCGATCTGAGGCCGGTGGTGTAACCTCTGTGCGGCGTTACTACTGATGTGCCGCGCTGCACGCCATGCGTGGGTATATAAGGACGAACACTTGCCCCGATGGAAGCAGTATGTATTCAGGCTTGTTGGATGGGCCAAGGGGTTGCGGATAGTGTAATGGTTAAGCCGCGTATCTGGGACTCCAGAGATGCGTGACTGGATTCCCCGCGGCGCCCGCCCTGTCTAGCAGGGTGACAGGCACGCTACGCCATACAGCCTCAGCAGCTGAGTGCGTCGTCAAGCCCCAGTGGCGACGGCCACGATGGGTAAGGGAAGAATGACGCCTCATTTTCCTGGACCGAGGGTGCTCAAGTCAGGCTATGCGATTGCGCCATGATTTCACCCAGAGAAAGTCATGTCATTTTGTACTCGAGCCTCTGGGACCATGAGAAGTAATTTTCAGCATGATGGGGAAATTGAGATATTGTTACTTGTAAGGTCATTTTGACAGTTAATGTAATCTTGAAAAAGTCAGGGACTTGCTGGTATCGCATCGCATTATAAGCCAAAATGGTGATTCAACCCAAACCTCAGATGGCCTTAAGTGTCCCAACCACAATAAGAGCTAGAATGCATTCATTTTGGTAACAAATAACAAAATGTCCCGACACGACACGACACTTGGTAGACTTCATAGGAAATGAGTGTACACTTATACAAAACATTAAAAATTGTATTCATTGTCGGCTCCGTGCCTCGTTCCACCGCTGACTTCAAACGCATGACTTTGTGCCATGCCTTCCAAGCGGCGAGCGACTGGGCCAGGCGACACACCAGCACCGGCCAGATGGCGTTTTGTGAAACCAGTCCTCAGATCCATCATCGGCTGACGGCGGGTGACAAAGAGAGCCCGCCCTGGAAATTACGCTTGGCTACAGCCGTCACGTGAAATTGATGCGCTGCTCGTGGACCAGACGGCTGCCAACACTCCCGTTAAGCCGAGCCCGGCAGGCATCGCCAGCGCTATGCTGAGGCCCTGATGATGCTATTGTGGCTGTGGGTCCCCGGGGTCAGAAGTACGGGCCCCTGATTCCCAGCAACGCCACGTCCGAGGTGTGCTGTGAACGTTTTAAACGTCGAAAAATATTAATCACCGTGCCCTGAAGGTGGAACTTTCAGCGCTATTAACTTTAGGGACATCAAAAAACGACTCAGTTAAGCGGCGTTGAAAATCACGTCTCCACTTATTCTCTATCTCTTGCTCTGAACGGCATTTTTATCCCCTGAAACATTGAAACCAGCTGGTCGACGCTACTCTTCCAGTTTCATGTTCTAACCCAGCGTCATGTGACTTAACACTGACTTTAAAATTGGAAACG